AACTTTTTATCATTATTGTTTATACCTTTATGTTTTTATCTGAACCATTTACCTGTAATCTTAAAACTTTATCATCATCATCATCATCTCTCTCTCTATCGCTCTCTTTGACAAAAAGCAATCATCCTCATTATTTTTACCTTTAGTAAAAAAATCGTTTAGTTGATTGCACTTTCCTTGATTGCTGTTACAATTTAATATCAATCTTACCAGTTTAAAGCTTTTGGCTTTATTCAGGTTGTAACTTATTTTGCTTTTGTTTGGTTAATGCAATATGATGATGATGAGGATGAAGATGATGATTAGGTAGGTGCAGCATCAAATTGGTGATGAAGGTAGGGTTGGTGATGAGAATGATGATAAACTAGTCTAAGTTAATGGTTAGTTGATGAGAGGATCCTCTCTCTCTCTCTCTCTCTCTCTCTCTCTCTCTCTCTCTACCTTTTACATCATTTGCTTTTGTGTAAAAAGAAAAATTTTACAGGTAAAAATCTTTTCATCATCTTCAATAGATTCATCAGCAATAAACATAACAAATAGGAATTGAAAGGTAAAGAGATTTTTTCTTGATCATCATTTCAAATGCTACAATTGTATTGCAATTGATTTTCAATACAATTGCATATGTATCTTGAATTAGATGATGATGACAGACACATTTCAATATTACAATAAGCTAATATTGTGAGTACTGTATATATATAAATGGATTCACAGTTTGATATGTAAGAAAATTCAAGGTAAAAGTACAGGTTGACACAAAAGATATTGAAAAACTCACAATAGGATCTACTATTTTTGCTCAATGATAAATATAACTGTCTATATATTTTTTTGTTATTATTATTGAATGAACAGCTACTCAGGGGGGTGAGTTACAGATAGAACTGAATTACAAGTTGAGATTGAAGATGATGATGATTTCATTGAGTTTGGCGCACCCATGATGATGGACATTTGATGAAACTAAATAATTTGGATCATTTGACTCAATGAATAGCGATAATAGTGATGACAAAATTGCATCCATCAGGAAAAGAGAGAGAGAGAGAGAGATTCATGAAAATTCATATAATAGATTTGTAGGGAAAAAGGAGAGACTCTGTTTGAGTATTTAAAAAAGAGCAGCAGGATTTTTACACGTCATCATGATGATAATGATGATGATGATGATGATTGTATCTTGCATGCTGAGATGTATTCATCTTAAGTGTATCTTGATTGAAATTACCTTAGACTGGCCTCTACCTTTTCATCAACCAATTCAATCTGTTCATTTAATTTCATCTTCTTTTCAATCTTGAGCATCCTCATCATCATCAACCCTCCTCACCATCACCACCTCTTCCTCCTACTCCACCTTCATTTAGATTCAAAGTTGATCCTGTGAATTATATCCATGAACATTTTCTTGAATTAAAATTCCTCAGATTCAGTTAACTGTTGGATATAAAAGAGAGCGAAAAAAATTCACTTTAATCTATGGATTTTTTTCCTTCTTTTTCTCCTTTTTATCTTCACCTTCTTCTCTCTAACAAAAGTTAGATGATGATAAAAGGATGATGCTGATCATCCTCATCTTTTCTTTACCATCAATTTGAGATAAACTTCCTCTGTATTAACACAAATAAAAAGAGAGAGAGAGAGAGCAAAGTTTATATATTTTTTTTTCTTCATAAACTCAACCAAACAAAAAGTAACTTTTCAACTTTTACCTGTTCATGTATGTAACTTGCTACCTTTTTTTTTCTTGCACCAGTAATCATCCCACTCCCCAGGTAACTTTTCAGGTAACATTGACTCTGTAAATTGTGTTATTTTGTTGTAACATTGTGGATAATGTTTAAAGGAGAGGATAGAAGTTTATTTTTTTTCTATTCTGCCCAAAATGATGTGATATTATTTTCACAATATCTCTGGTTAATGTCTCACATACACAGGTAAATGTTGATGAAGATGATGGAGATGATGAAGATGATGATGAGTTATATGCTCTTATGAACACCAATAAAAGATACGATGAGATTAAAAAATTAAACTACAATAAACATTAACCATTATCACCATGATTCCAATGATTTTTCATCCTCTCTTTTTTTTTCATCTTCTTGGTTTATAACCTTTGTTATATTTTTCCAACACATAGACTCACCTTTATAACTGTAATTGACTGAAATAATTTGGGTATTAACATGATGGTGATGAAAAAAAAAACTCGAGGTTTAATTTACCTTATTGTTAATTTCGTAGGCATAGTTTGAATGGTTGAATGGAAAGTTATTGTTATGATGAGACTTAATTGCATTTCCTTGATTGTTAACAGTTGAATAAGTTTTAATTTAAATTGTAATCAGTGTTCATTGACCAAGTGAACAATTTACTCGCCATGTAAATTACAATCATGATCAAATCAATCAATTATCTTTCAAGTTTTCTCATTGAAACAATTGGCAACTCTGATTGTTGTTGTTAAACTTTAATTGTGATTTACATTTACAAAGAATGTTGAAAACTCACGTTTCAATGAGTCTTAACAATTAACTTGATTGTTTTGTTTTATAATTAACAATCTAAATTGTGTTTTCTTCCTTTAAACCTTTTTCAATGGTGATAATGTTATTGTTAGATTATCGTTGTCATGATTAATTGAAACGTTTCAAATGATTTTCAAACTTAATTGTAACTTCATTTCTTTTTACCAATTTCACTATTCCAAAGTTGATGTTGATTAACAATCAAATTAACTTTTCTTTTTTTTTTACTATGCTAATTACTTGCATCCTCTTATCCATCTATTACATAGGGATGAATGTGGATTTATATAAGTTTTTTTCTTCTTCTTGTTAAACACCCCAAGGCAAAGTTGTATCTTTTTCTATCTCAAAAATAATCTCTCTGTCTTCTTCATCCTCATCATCTGTTTTGTCATCATAATTTATCTTTTTTCTCTTCTTATTCTCTCATTATTTATCATCTCCTTGCTTTCTACTTACTACCATTTCCTTCATCTGATTATCATCTTCATCTTTTGATGCTCTTTTTCCTGTTTATCTCTTTTTCATCTTCATCTCTTTTTTCTGCCTTTTGTTCATCATCCTCATCATCCTCATTAGACTTTCTTCATCTCTCTCTCTCTCTCTTCATCATTTTGACAATGTTTCTTAACTGTATTTGTTTGTTACTATTACTTTTTCACTCAATTTTCACCCTGAAGATATTTCATCTTCTGTTGCTATTGCATCTTTTTTTTATCGTCATTATTGTTATTATCATCATGATTTTAGCCTTTATTTGCATCTAATTTTGTTGCTCATCCTCATCATCTTCTTGTAACCTCAAAATTTGTTGTGTTATCATATTTACACAAATGCAAACATATGATTGTTGTGGATATTGGTTAATCTTGAATTTGCTGAATTTCGTTATTAATGATTTTACATGAATTTTTGTTGGTTATCATGAAGATAAATTGTAATCATCTAATAGATTATTATTATTTTTATTATTTCATCAATTTTAAGTTCTTACTGAATAGGAAAGCTACTATTTGGATTCGATTGAGATGATTTACTTTTTGAAACTTTTTTCTTTCAACGGATTAATCTTATTTTGGATTAGTGTTTTTCTTGTTGTTGTTGTACTTTTTTTTCAATCTCACTGGGATAATCATCATAGCTCACTGGTTATCCTGTCATCAACCATGTTGACCTGCTAACTGAACTTGACATGGTAGCAAATCTGATTTCACTTTTATTTTTTTCTTTCCCATTCTCTGACTGAATTTTTTTTTCACCATGAATTTCATGGGGATTCTTGTTGTTTGAGGATAATATTTTTTTACACTTCTCCATATCACTTTCTCTGTTGATACTGAACTTGTTGTTGTTGTTGTTCAGTTATCATGAAGATGATGATGATGATTGGTTTTATTACTCTCTCACAGTTAATCAAAGACTTGTATCAACGTCTCTCATGGTGAAACTACATGGGATGAAACTAAACTGAACTGCATCATCAATCAAATGACCTTGATACTTTGTACTAGGGTTTGGATGACAAAAAAAAAGATGAGGCCCAAATAAAAGATTCTGATGAACTTTTCCCCCTCTGTAATCATTCACATGATGATGATGATGATGATGATGATAACTCTTAATGTCTTTTGTTTGTTTGTTACTGTTTTTCCATGATGTTTTCCCCTGAAAACTGAACCCAGAACGAATCAGATGAGTTAACATTGTACTTTTTTTCCAATGAGATGAAATTATCTCCATTCTTTTGTTTTTTCATCTCCTTTTCATCCTGATTCAATATTCATTTCTCATGAGATCACATTTTGTCTGTTCCATCAATGAAACATAAGGTGCTCATCATCATCATATTGCTCATGATTAACTCAGTGTTTTCCAGCCTTTGAAAACGCTGTTTTTTTTTGTTTCATGATAAATTCTGTACAACAATTGTTTTAATTAATTTGATTGTAATTCATTTCGTGATTATCATAATCATCATTTTAAAATCAGATTGATACGGAAGCTTAAATTATTCTGGAAACATATTGATACTCATGATGTGACCTCTTTTTTTTTAATCACAATTAGTGGATTAAACAAAATTCACAACTTCCGAATGAGATGAAAATTGCAGATTGTTTTTAATTACAATTGATTGTTTATTATCCTTTTCTATTAACAATCAACAATTTGATGATACAAAACAATCAAATTAGTATTTTATCATAAAGGTAAACGATTGATTCTCATGCCATCTATTGGTGATACTTGGTGAATGGTAACTTTCTGATTGTACAATTAACTTTGAACAATTAAGAGTAACCAATTGACTGATTATATTGATTGAACAATTGAACCAAATTATTGATCCATTTTACTTCCGGTTATATTTTTTTTCTTCACTCTATTATTATATGAAGCAATCTAATCTCTTGATTTTTTCCTTCTTCTTTTTCTTAATCTTCCTTAATCATCTTAATTGTCCAGTGGTTTTACTTGATTCAACAAAAGAGAGCTCATTAGACTGGACCAGATATCCTTATGGACCACAGTCTAAAACACCCGGGGTAAGTTTCACAATCCATTGAAATCTAAAGCATCATTTCCGTTTCCTCTTTTTACCTTTTTCTTCCCAATTTTTACCGTTCCAAAAATCAGTCACCAAAAATATTCAATCTCATCTTTAAATCTTATTCAAAATGTTCATTATTAATTAACTCTTCTTGCAAATAATTAAATAATAGTTTTAACAATTAAAGTTGTTGTGATCAATCAAAGTGATTAGATGACAAACATAATTAGTTGAACAAACTTTTCAATTATGAGAATCAAAGTTGGCCTGATCTTTTTTTCTGTTGACATTATTATTATGCTTTCTTTCAATTGATTAACTTTGATTTAATTATCACATGGAATAAGTGAATTAAATTGATAGAAATGTGAACAATTAGTTGACATCGAACCTCCTAACGAATTCGTTAGATATCAATATCCATTTGAAGAGAGTTTAGTTGTTACTTTGTTTGGAAGGAATTTACTTACGCACTAATTGTTATTAACTGTTAATAGAAAAGTTAAGAGATAGGAAAATAAGAAGAAAAAAGTTCTATTTCAATGTTAGATGAAGATGAAGATGATGATCGGTGTCAATCTCATCTTTCACTGTCAGAGGTCTCCGAGAATTGCAATGTATATAATACTTGAGGGTTTAAGAGTCTCTTGAAAATTGAGAAGAGTGAAAAATGTCATCAGGATGGAAACTGTGAACACTTTTTTTTTCATTCCAGAAACAGAAAGAGAATCAAGTTTTTTTTATCATCCTTATCTTCATCTTCATCATCATTATCATGATTTTCTGGATCCAGAAGAAACGAAATCTAATCATCAACAGCAAACCTGCTGAGAGAGAGAGTCTGTTATTTAAAGTATTATAACCAGTTAAAAGTAAACTAGAAGATGATAAAAGAAAGAGAAAAAGAAAGAGATGAAATGATGAGGATGAGGATGATAATGATGGTTGAATAGAAATCATCATTTTCTTATGTTCTTTTCTTTTGGCATCTTTACCTTTTCTCTCTCTCTCTCTCTCTCTCTCTCTCTCTCTCCTTCTCCACCTCCATAATCATCAGCATCATCACATCTCTGAAGATGATATTTTCAATTTCATCTTCATCCTCAACACCGTGGGAATTTTACCTTAACATTTACATGGAAAGATTCATTTTACTGAATTAAAGAAACATTTAACTTTTAGTATTATTATTATAATATCAATAGAGAATCAGTTGATCAGCTCAATCATGATAATCATGTAACCATGATTATCATCTGTCATCATCTTGTTGATTAAACAGAAATTGTTTTGTTTATGATGATCAACAAACAACACCCAATACTTTAATCATAACGTTTTTTTTCAACCTTTTTCCATCCCAAGTAATTTACTTAACCACAAATCATAATTGTTTCCATAAATGAGAGTAAATTGGTTGACTGTTAACTATCTATCATCTTAATTTTTCATCACCCTGCCACCTCCACCTCCACCTCCACCATCACCTCCGCATCTCTTTATCATTTGATTATCTCAATTCAATTAGACGATGAAAGATGATTAAGATAAAGTAAATTAACTTTTTCCATACATGAAACTAATTTTTTTTTCCTTTTTCTTTTCTTTTTTTTCACATGCAATTAAATCTTAATTCAATTGAATAAATAAATATATATATTCATCATCTTGGTTATCTCTATCATCGTCGTGATAATTCAGTGGGTGGAGGAAAGTTTCACCAATTTTGAAATAGGGATCAACTGGAGGTCCTATGTTGTCTGTGATGTAGCTTATAAGGATGTAAATAATTGGCTTTGGACGCCATTCATTGAGCGACATGATGCTAACCGAATCTACATTGAAATTAAATTCTCAATGAGAGATTGTAATTTATTTCCAGGTAAGTTGATTATTCTCGTTTCTATTAACTCTTTAAATTAGTTCAATTGATTCATTATTCGTATTTAATAATAATAATAATTGTAATCAATTTGCAAATTTCTCATCGTTTATTTGTCTTATCCTTTAGTGTTTGTTGATTGTCAATTTTGTCTTTTCATTTATTTCAAAAGTTTATGATAATTTTTATCAATTGGTTTGGTTGAATGTTTTTTTATATACAAGTACGTTTATGTCAATTGTTGATGTGACAAATTTGTTGATTTGTTTTCAATTTCAATTATCATATTAACATTGAGAGAGAGAGAGATGTTGATATTATTATTTTGTTGATTGAATAAAAAGTGAATATAAATTTTATTGTTGATAAATGAATGTTAATTTGGGTCTAATCAATAGGGAACCAGATAGTTAATACTATTTGTATCTCAGCCTGAGGATATTTAATTGTAAATTAGAGCAAATTAGTAAATATTCAGCAGGATGATAAGCTTGAGAGAGAGAGAGAGAGAGAGAGAGAGAGAGAGAGAGAGAGATGATAACGATTGTGAACCTTTCGATTTTAAAATGTAAATTTACATTTGCAACCCTGAGATAAAGCAAGACGATGATTAGGATGATGAGGAAGAAAAAAGCTCCATTGAGAAGAAGAATAGAAAGTGGGAGTGAGAGTGAGAAGGGTGAACTTATCTCTCTTCTCTCTTCATTTGTGATATAAAAGTGGGAGTGAGATTTATCATAATAGTATAAAAAGAGAGAGAAAAAAGTTCTAAAAGAAATTGAATCAACTGAATATATAGTTAAGTCTGTTTTTAAGCTTGGTGACAGGAAAGTGATGAAAATGAAACTTACTTCAAGGTCTGATGAAGATTGTGATGAGGATGAGGATGAAAAAATAAAGAAAAACTAACAGAGAGAATAAGGGAGAAAAGAAGACATTCTTTGAATGAAGATTATACAGCTAACCTTTATAATTGAGTCTCTACAATGAGAGATTAGTGGAAGAGATGATGATGAAGATGACAAAGAGAAAGTCTTCATTTCTATTGTAACTTTCTCTCTCAATCTCTCTCCCTCTCTTTATTTTCCATTCTATATCCAATGTAAACTTTTTTTATCTTCACAATTCAATTGTAGCTCCCTAATAATGACGATGATAATCATCATCATCAACATAATATCTATTATATCTCGAGAATTAAGTTACCTTTTTACTCTTCATCTTCTCTCTCTCTCTCTCATTGGTCTTTTATCTTCTTCTCCTTCTTCTTTCTCCTCCTTACAAATTCAATAATCTTCATCTCTAAATCATTTAGTTATCTTCATCTTCCTTTAAACTCCCAAGTGAAAGAAACTCTGTTCCTCTGTTTCAGTTCATCTTCGGCTAATACTTAATATCCCAGAGAAATTTTTATTCATCTCTTGTTTATTGTATTCTATCATCATCTTCCATCATCATCCTCCTCCTTGTTGACCTTATTTTCACCATTGACCTCAACTGTAGGTGAACCTGAAAAGAATAAAAAAAAACATGAGTAAACATTTGAATCTATTGAATATTTATTAGTGTATATCAATGAGATTCTAGAATCTATTGAATTTGCTACAGAAAAAGAAAAATTAACAATTTTTTCCTTTGAAAATCAATTTGAATTACGAATAAATTTTATATTAAATTGTGTTGTTGTTTGTATTTCCTTTTGCTGAACAATTTAAATTACAGAATTGATATTAACATATTGTTCAACTTTTTCATGGTGGTTAAAACTTTCCATGTAACCACAATCACTGAGACTGAATTTCAATTGAACTAATTAAATGGACAATAAGTATGATGAATGACTAATATTAATCCTGAAACTTTTTCATTGTTTTAATTTCCATAGGAATGGCTTTATCTTGTAAAGAAACTTTTTCCCTCCTTTATCATGAATTTGATTCAGCAAACAAGGAACAAGATCCACCACCATGGGAACCTGAATCGTACAAATTAATTGACAGAATCGCAGCTGATGAAGGTCGATTTACATCTAATAGCGAGGTAAATTTATCTTCTCATCTTCATGATGATTATCGGATGAGAATATCTCTTTCTCTCTCTTTTTTTATTCGTATTAGTCTCTTATCATCATGAATTAATCTTAACTAAACTGAAGGGAATATCTTATTTTCAATGGAAATCGGATTAGTCAATGAAATAAAAAACAACCGATGAGCTTTAATGATAATACACATAAATGAATAATATTATATGAGATGAGAATTATCAATGAGTTGGTCATGATGATTCATTTTCCAGGAATGAAATAGATATGAACAGAATTTGTTTCATGATAGATAATATCTTATATCCATTTACTGTTAAATCTAATCCGATTTCCAGTCATCTGATAGTCTTTACTAATTTTCTTATTATCTTATTAGTCAACTGATGTCATCTTCTCATCTTCATCATCTTGTCTTTGAATGATAATCTACTAGTTTACTAATCTTTCTTTCTCTCTCTCTCTCTCTCTCTCTCTCTCTCTCTCTCTCTCTCTTTGTTTATCACCATTAAGACGATAATAAATACGGAAGTTCGTAGTATCCCTGTAAGTAAGAAGGGTGTTTACTTTGCGTTCCGTGATCAAGGAGCTTGTCTTTCATTGTTGGCGATTAAAATTTTCTATGTGGCCTGTCCCAATATCACCACAAATTTTGCGCACTTTTCATCCTCTCCCACTGGTAATGAATTAACTGCAATCGTACCCGCCGAAGGTACTTGTGTTCCCAATGCAGTTGAACTCGAAAAGCCAAGATTACTTTGTAAAGGTGATGGTAACTGGACATTACCCTCAGGCGGATGTGTTTGTATGGCGGGATACGAACCATTAGGACAATCTTGCCAAGGTAAAACAATCAATTGATCCCCATTTATGATTAAGATTCGTGATTATTTACTTTCTGTCGCTCATTTTAATTGTTATAACAATCAAATCTCACCACAACCGAGATACTCATTCAACTACTAATCAAATCATCTTGTCGATAATCAATCACAATCCATTGGTGATTTGTTTATTTATTCAAACTGTTAACATAATAACTGTAGTATATTCATTTGTTTTAATTAATATCTTTTTCCTATTTGATTATTTATCATCTCTCTCTCTCTCTCTCTCTCATTTTCTTTCATCAATCACTCCTCTCATCTTACTGTGATGATTATATCATTTGATTGAATTAACTTTTATTTTCCTATGGAAAATTATATCAATACAAACTGATAGGTCTCTCTTTATATGATTATATTGATATATTTTACAAGTTAATTTGTTCATATGATTATCATGAAGATACTCATGAGTTTCATTTTGATTATCTTGATTATCTTGATCATCTTCAATCATCTTGTTCATTATTTACCATTCCCTTAATTTTTTTCTAGTAATCATTAAGATTATTCAAGTAATTCATAAATTGTTGGCGGTAAAATAATAAGCAAAAAGGCACGAACATGATTCTTATCATCTTGTTATTGACAAAATACATTATCTTTTCATATTCATCTTATAAATATATTATATAGTTTATTACATTATTATTATTATTATTGTATATCAATTGATATGAGAGATACATAAACATGATGATGATAAGAAACCCTCAGGATGCTTTAGGGTTATTATTGCAATAGAATGCAAAAATTTAGGATGAATGAATCATGAAAGATGAAAGGATGAAAGATGATAAAAGTCCATGATTCTTATTGAAAGTTTCCTCTGTTTCTTTCCCATTGAATGGTCACATTAAGATAAATAAATAAGCAAAAGTTTCCACATTGATATTTACTCAACATCAAGAATAGTTTCTCATATTAATACAACAACAACTACTACTAATTGACTCAACTTTATAGTTTTTTGACCATCATTTAATTGACCTTAGGGTCAGGGTTTGCAAACTCAGGCAAAAACTACTATTAAAGTTTACTTACTATTATCATAATATGTTGTTAGTTTTTTTTTCTTGCTCTTGTTTATATTTAATCTATTAGTATCTTCCTATTGTATCTTGTACGTTATATTAACTTAGTGTTTCTTTGAGGATTAAAATTAATGTATATTTATTTATATCTCTCACCATGATGATGATGATGATGATGATGATAATAAGATGGTGATGATGAGGATGAGGATGAGGATAGACTTTGAAAGAGCTTCCAGACTTTCTGCCTTAAGCCAACGTGTTTACTATTTGAACAAATTGTTGGATTTCATTGTCTCCCTCATCTTCATCTTCATCTTCATCCTCCTCCATATCATCATTATCATCAGCTTATTCATCAATCTATCTTGTATCCTCCTTCTCTCTATATATATATATATTTTCCACTTTGTTAAATCAATGATGATGATGATGATGATGAGCAACCTTTTACTCTTCCTCATTTTCGGGTCAATCATTTACTAACCTTTACCTTTTTTTTCCCGAGTAACAATCAGATTAAATTGAAGTAAATCCATTTGATTATATCGACTAAATTCAATTTATCTCCATCCCTCTGATTTCTAAGTCAATTATCCCTCCCAATTGATTACCTTCATTGGTTAATCTCTAATTTACTTTATCCTTTATTTTCATTCTCTCGATAGTTTGTCCACCAGGAACTTTTAAACCTTCACCTGGAAGTGAATTATGTGGACCATGTCCAGCTCATAGTGGTGCTCAATATCGAGGGTCAACTGAATGTCGCTGTGACCGTGGCTATTATCGAGCAGCTAAAGATCCTAAATGGTTCCCATGTACTCGTAAGTTTGATAAAACAAAATCAAGATTCCAATTAATATGACAAAATTTTCATCTCCATAATCAGAACCTCCATCAGCACCACAAAATTTAACAATTAAATACGTTGACCAGTCAAGTGTCGTTCTAACCTGGTTACAACCTAAATATCTTGGAGGACGAAATGATACAATTTATCGTATTGAATGTGACCAATGTCCATCTACAACTAATTACAGCCCTTCTTCTGAGGCAATTAACGAAACTCGAGTAAACATTTCAGGCCTTAATCCATCATCTACTTACCGGTTTATCGTTTACTCTGAAAATGGTGTTTCTGGTTCTGATTTAAGTCAATTCATCGATGTAACCATAACAACAGAATCCTCAGGTAAGTTCAAACATAAATAGCGATAATAACATCATCAGAATACAATAATCATATAAGAAAATACAATTCTTCAATTTCTAAATCAATCTTAATTTAGATTCTCAGTAAATATATTAATAGATATATGGTTGTTTCTCTGTAAACAATGTTATACAAATAATAGTAAAATAGACAAGGTGAAAACTGAATCAATCTGAAATGAATTGAATTGAATTGCTTATAACACGCAAAAGGCATTTACATAATATCATCATTATCATGATGATGATGATGATGATGATAATTTTGAGAGACTGAATTAAGATTTACAGAGCCATTAACATGAAACTTGACAGATAAAAACGTTGAATAGTTGAAGGGTCAAGATTAATTTACAGAGGAAAATTCTTACATTTAATCACAAGGGATTTCCTATTGAACCTCTTTGTTTTCTTGATCATCACAATTTCATCCTGATCATTATCTTTCTCATTGTGTTCAGTTGTTGATTCAGTTTCAATCTTACCCTGAGTATACATATAAATGTACTGAAAACTAGATAACAAGAACTGAACTTACATAAGGAATAGACGAAGAAAAAAAAAACAACCAAACCTTTAATGATCTGATCTAAGATAGATGATGATCATGATGATCATCATGATTCTCGTCATGTAATTTATGTTTACCTTACAATCTTATGTTTACCTGTCTCATAATACGACAGTATTTCTTATTTGTTTACAATCGGCATCTTACCATTGGTTTTACGAATCATTTTCTACCTCATCTCCATCCTCATCTTTTTTGTCATCATCCATTTTCATTTCTTTTCTCTTTTTTTTTCCTTTTTTTTTCGTTATATTCTTAGGTTATATATCGTTGGTTATCACAGAAGATGACAATGGACACAAGTTTAATGGTGAGTTATCGATGTCCATCTATCTACCTTCATCCTCCACCTCCTCCAACATCTTCCACTTTCCCTTTTTCTTTCAACTTCATCCCTTAGTTTCCTCTCTCCATCTCCATCTTCATCTTCATCCTCATCTCTCCTCCCATTGTTTTCCTGTTTTCTTCTTATAATTTTACCTTTATCTCTCTGTTGTAATAGTAATGATAATAATCATCCTCATCATTATCAAAATGTTTTAGTGATATTTTTTTTTACCTCAAATCAAACCTTGTAAACTGTTATTATCATCATTACGCCTTCTTGCCAACCTCAAGCTCAACAACAACAACAACAACAACAAATAACAATAACAAAGTGAAAATAACACAGAGTGTTATCATCATCATTAAACAGGATGATAGGGAATTGACTTGATAAGATGATAGAAGAAGAAGAAGAAAAAAAAAGATTAAAGGTAAAGAAGAAGAAGATGAAGATGAAGGTAAAAGGAAATAGAAGATTGGTCTTTTTCTTACCTTAATTGTTGTACAATTTCCATCGGCACCTTATATCCAGTAAGAATTAACATCCTTACAATAAGATGAAAACGAGTATCAAAATAGTCACGGTAACTTGATGGTTGACCGATCATTGAGTTTCTATCTCTTGGAGATTTTTTTTTTGGTTCCTTCTCAATCTTCACGATATAAGAAAGAAGATGATTGAGAATGAGAGAGAAATTAAGATGAAAGATATTCTAGTTTTCTGGTTCTTCATCTTCTTTCATTGACCAGTAATAATAATTTTCGGACATCGTGATCTTTTGACCAAAAGAATCAGATAATTAGCTGAATATTGAACATGTTCATCTTGTACTCACTAATTTCATGGTTATTCAACTTTACCTTAACTTTTTTTTTCTTCTTTCATCTTCTTTTCTTAATCAGTTGATGTAATTAAACTGTAAAGATATTGGATAGTTTATAATTGCGAGATGAGGGCAAAAGATAAAATTGAATGTTTACATTTAAATGGTAATTGGGTAATTACTTAAAAAGTAATTAACAAATTGTTGTTTCTCGTGTTTTTATTTTATCGATTTACAGTTGATAACAGGTTGGATCCTGTTCAAATGAGAATCATTCCTGGAGTGACCATTGTCATTGTGGTTTTAATTGCGGTAATTGGTGTGATGATTGTACTTTATTTACGACGAAATACTGATGAATGTAATAAGAAACAACCAAGTGACTGTGATACTCTTGAATATACTCGTTCAGGTGAAGTACCTTCACTTGAACATCCACCGATTGTGCCAACAGCGAGGTTCAATTCACCCTTTACAGTGTCCACTCCGTTGTTCAATCACTGTGGTACCTCTCGTGCCTACGTTGACCCTCACACATATGAAGATCCTCACCAGGCAATCCGTGAATTCACCCGTGAAATTGATGCCTCTCATATCACCATTGAAGCGATCATAGGAGGAGGTAAGTCAAGTTAATTATTCGTGATAATTACCAATCAAACAATCAAATCAATAATCAATTCATTTCATTTCATTTTACTTTTTCTGGTGAGAAAAACAAAAATCAATCGACCCAATATTTTGTACTTCTATTGACAAAACCAGTATTAGTTTTCCAGGTCAATTTAAGATTCAAATGATGGAAATGCAAATATTAAATTTACATCTGATGATGATGATGATGATGATGATGACAAGCATGATGATGGAGATGATAAAAAAATAGTTATATTCAAATTGCATCATAAGGAATTTAATTATTTACCTGATTTTTTGGCAATTTTTTTTTCTTCTCTTCCATCAACTGATTGTGTTTGCAGAAAATGATTTAAACTTGATCAAGGTTAATCTATTATTGCAATCAGCAGTTTCTTAACTGTTTTCATATGCAAAGTGTTTTCTTTATGCAAAATCATCATCTTCATATCATCGTTTTTTTATCTTCTTCATCCTGTTTCTGTTTCTATCTCTCTCTCTCTCTTTTCACTTATGAGAAACCCGGTGAGAGATTTTATTGAAAATATGATTCCAACTGATGGAACTTGTCTAGTTGTTTATCATCTTCTCTGTCTCTTTCTCTTTCTCATTATATATCAGTTGGTGTGATGATAATGGAGGGAATTGTTCATCATTGGAATTGCTTGAAGGCTTTTTTATCAGTTTCCTTTTCTGGTGAAAATATGAAAGAGAGAATCGGAAAGGAAAAATATTGATGTAAATATATTAGATGAAGAGAAGGGAAAATTTTACCTCTTCACAGGTTATCATCATTTACACCGTCATTTCTTGGCGGGAAAATTACTTAAGGTGGGGTGAGAGTTATCATCAGCATGAGTGAGGTGAGAAACTCAGGAAAGAGAGAGAGAGAGAGAGAGAAGATCCTATTTTCATCTCTTTATCTTCCATCAACCTTTTTTTTTACTGATGAGTTTTTAAAGTAAATAATTTTACAGGTAAATAGTGCTGACAGAATTACCTTGAGGGGCTGATGTTTTCTTTTTTGTTTTCTTTCTGGAAGATGATAAAACTGAAGATATTGTTACAATGAAGATGAGAATAGTAATGAAATGCTTATTTTGTACTAATACTTGATGATGGTAACACTGAGATGTGATGATAATGTTCATTGATTCAAAATGGAAAAGTTCATGAGGCCTGTAAATTGAAAGGAAAAGAAAGAGAATTAACTTTTCTTCATCTTGATTATCTTGTTCATTATCATTCAGGTTCCACTATATTTGAGATAAATATTTTTTCCTATTCTCTCCTCTTGGTCTTCTCATCAGCTTCCCTGAGGAGCATAAGATGCTTAAGGCTCTTTCGCCATTAGATTCATCATCATCATCATCATCATCACCATGAAATAGATTTCATCCAATGAATTACCATCCTAATGGAATTGAAATTCAGGGTGGAATTAATTCAATTCTCTCTCTCTCTCTCGCTCTCTCTCTTTCAATTCAGTTCTCTCTTCATCATTATCAACTACTCTTATTATTTTTTATCATCTATTATTATTATATAATAAAGGCACATGAATCTTATCATCAATATCATTTGGGTGTTGTCCATGTTTCCTTTTCCTGTTTTAAATAGTTTTCATCATCATTTACAATAGTTACCCAAATAATATTGATAATAACACGTTAATGAATCTTTTTTTTTGTTGCTGTAAATTTATCAATCAACAGATAAACAAATTATCATGTAGATATGATTGAAATTAATGATCATTATTTTACAATTCAATCAAATTGTTTAGGTAAATTAGTTAATCACTTTTAAACCGGTTCACCTTTACAATTAAATGTTATCACTTTCAATTGTGGTCAGTTTATTAATTTTATTTTATTTTTTTTCATCACTTTATATGTTAATTTGAATTGAGAATTTCAATCAATAAATTTAAATGATAATTGCTGATTGTTTGGTGAACAATATTAATTCATGTTTCTGTTATTTTTTTTTCTTACAATTTAATTGTTAATAATTAACATTTGATTATATGACTATCATTATTGTTATGGTATTGAAATGTTTACTGATTATTGATTTGATTAAACTTTTGTCCCCAATTGTTTTGATTGTTATCCTTGAAATTGATTGATTTCTGTTGATTACTGATGATTAATATTAATTGTGAATTGTAATTTAAATTTCAAGGTGAATTTGGTGATGTTTGTAGAGGGAAATTAAAAATTCCAGGTCGACCTGAGGTCACGGTGGCAATTAAAACACTTAAACCTGGAGCCGCCGACAAGGCAAGAATGGACTTCCTAACGGAGGCCAGTATAATGGGTCAGTTTGACCATCCCAATGTAATTTATTTACAAGGAGTAGTGACCAAAAGTAATCCAATCATGATAATAACTGAATACATGGACAATGGATCTCTGGATGCATTTTTAAGGGTAAATTTAAAATGAAACCACTAATTAATAGAAAAAGTTAATCAATCAATTAATCGTAACAATTGAAATCTTAATCCAGGCCAATGAAGCTAAATTTCAAATCATTCAATTGGTGGCCATGTTAAGGGGTATTGCTGCTGGTATGCAATATTTATCAGAGATAAATTATGTTCATAGGGTAAGTTGATTTACTTAATTGTTACCAGTTGATTAATCATTAGTTAGTATTGATTTGTGGTCATGTTTGTTAAATCATCATCAAGTTTTCAAGTAAATTTGATTGTTTGTCTTTTCAAATTGGAAACAAATTTACGGCCAACTGATTGTGTTTAATTGATTAAAGGCCAAATTGTTTGTGATTAGATTGTTGTTGAGTGATTGGTGTTTTTTTTGCTCCCAATCATTGAAACTAGAACTAGTAATCACTCAATAACCAATGTAAATATTATTATTTGTATTATATTGAGGGTTATGCATTTAATTTATGCTCTTTGTTTATGTTTATTTTGCAAAAAAAAACAAACAAACAAACAAATACTAATCTTATGCATCTTCATCTTCATCATCTTCTTTATCCTCTGTGATTTATTCATCTCTCCTCCTTTTCATGGACCATAGGATTTAGCAGCACGAAATGTACTTGTCAATGCTGCACTAGTTTGTAAAATCGCTGACTTTGGACTGTCACGGGAGATTGAAAGTGCTAATGAAGGAGCTTATACAACAAGGGTAATTATCATGATCGAATTTGTTTTTTTTCTTTTTCTTCTTGTTGTTAGAGAAACAAAAAAGTTCTAACTCAATCTAATAACTTGATCATCATCAACAACAACTGACGACAAGCAACTAAGATATCAGAATATGAATGAAAAGTTTTCTCATTTTCAACCTTTCATCAGCATTTACCTTGTTATCTGTTGTTTAATGTTCATCAAGGTAAATCATTGGCACGTCCTCACGACTTTCCAATGAGTTTCTGTTGAATTTGGTTCAGTTTTTATTTCCCACATCTCTTATCATCAGGTTAATTATCACTCTTAATTGTTATCTCCACTTTTTTCCCTAAATAATTTGCATAAAAAGATGATCAATTATCATTAAATTTTCTGGGCGAAATTCAACCTTTTCCGTGGTTTTTTAAGCCCGTGTTTCCGTTTCCTTTTCTGCCCTTTTTTCTCCTTATCTTCATCTTGTATCTTTCTCCTTTTTCATCCTCATCTTTCCTTCGTCCATCAGCATAATTATCTTCTATCTATCATCATCTTCATCATCATTTCTTTCCTGTGTATCTTTGTGTGTGTCTCTCTCTCTCACTCACTCTATCATCTTCCTCTTTACCAACCCCATTTACCATAGTTGATTATAACCATTGATTAACTTTTACAATTTCGGTTAATTTAGTTGATTTAAATCTAGTCAGTGAGTGTGTTTGTTTGTTTGTAATCATTGATAATCAACTGAAGAGTAAAAATAATAATTGTTCATTCTGAGCTTTCAATGAAATAACCTTTTTATCAACAATTAACATCTAATTGTTGTTACTTCTGCTTTCATGTTTAAATTGTTGTTGTGTGTGTGTGTGTTTGCCCATGTTAATTATCGTGAAAGTGAATTTAAATTAATTCAAACTCCTTTTTCCTTAATCATCATCATCATCATCATCCCTCTGTCTTTATCATTTTTCCCTATCTCTTTATTTATCTGTACCAAACACCCCCCAAGGGCATCTAACCAAATCATCATCATCAACATCATTTTGAATGCTGCTGATGATGATGATGCTCTTTAATGACAAACCCTTGATTCTCATGTGAAAACATATCATTCATTTGATTAAATCATCTTGATGACAAAAAAATTAACAAAATGTAATCACATTGAGAAAACAATGTTTAGTAAAGTGAAAAATAATCATCACCATAAATAAGGAGCAGCAATGAAACAATTAACTATTGAAAAATTGTTCCTCCACCAGATGAAAGGTAAATTGTAATTAACAATTAGTATTACAAGGAAAAGAAAAACAAAACTTAAGCTGATTGCTAACCATTAATTATCACATTGTTACCGGTTAACAATTTAACTTTTCTTATTAATTTGTTGCTCGGTTTTGGCTCTTGTTGTTGTTGGTTCGTTATTGGTGTTGATTTTTTAGCAACTTTTAGGTTGGGTCAATTGTTGCGATTCAACTTATCATATGATATGATTAACTAATTGTTATTTGCTATCCACAGGGTGGTAAGATACCAGTTAGATGGACAGCACCAGAGGCTATTGCTTTCCGCAAGTTCACATCGTCCAGTGATGTTTGGTCATTCGGAATTGTTTGTTGGGAAGTTTTATCATATGGGGAGAGACCTTATTGGAATTGGTCAAATCAAGATGTAATCAAGGGCATTGAGAAAGGCTATCGACTGCCCCCTCCAATGGTAAGATAATTAATGATTTGTACTCATCAACAATTAACCTTTTTTTTCAATGACTTTATTTTTCTTACCTCAACAATTTAACCTAACATGATGATTGAGATTCTTTAACGATAACTTTAAATTGTTGTATTATTACATTTCTATTCATCTTGTTTATCATAATCTTGGAAATAACTTTTCTTATATTTTTTTTGGTTTTGTATCTTATTGAAAAGACTATCAGGTTACTCTTGACCAATGGTCTTCAGATTATTGATCTTCCAGATTATTACCTATTTTTTTATCGCGCATTTTGTTTTCTTTTGGATTATATTTTTTTTTGCTACTTCTTCTGTTATGTTTCAGAAATTTTATCATCATCAATCTGATCTTTTTCTCTTCATCTTCATCATCCTCATCTTTGTATTTCATTTCCCTTGCTAATAACAAGAAATTGAAATACACTTTTCATATGGATTTTTTTTTCTCTAAAAAATCAACTTGCTTCTTGTTATGAATTTGTTGCTTTACTTCATGACCTGTGGCTTTAAGACTCAGCAGGACAGGTAAAGTGAATGATTGAAAAAAGAAGCATCTTTCATCTTCCCTATCATCTTATTCATCATCATCATCATCATCATCGCTCTCTCTCTCTCTCTCTGCATGGTGTTTCCTTGCTAACTTATAAGAAGGTGATCTGAGAGAGATGAACTATTTTCTTAAGGCTACTTGAGCATCTTCATCATCTTCATCATTATCATCATCTTTCTTTATGATCTGTTACCAGGATTTTCTTCACTTTTTATATTTTTCTTTCTCATCATCTTTTTTTTTATCATCCTTGTAGTACTTTGGTAAACAACGATCAGAAATATGATGAGTATGATTATGATATAGCCGATATACTGGTTAAGATGCTTGATTCCCTTGTCACTTTCCTACTTCTCTTCTCTCTCTCTCTCTCTAACTCACCATAATCATCATCATCTCCTCATCATCGACATAAAAAAACCTTATCATCTGTACAAAATGTATCAAATGCTGTCAATCACTTTTACCTTTCCTCTTTGATCCATCATCCTTGTTTTTTCTCCATCTTCATCATCATCATTATTTCATGTTCCTTTCACTGATTGTCTGTTGATTCAACCAAAGGAGAAGAGAGAGAGAGAGAGATTTGTTAACACGTTGTTTTTAATCTTAAACATCATCCAATGTATATTAATACACTTTACAGGGTCACCTCACAGGTCAGGTAAAATTAAGACAAGTTTACACAGGTAAATAAAAAGAAAAGCGGATTTTCATGGATTATATTGTTTACCAAATCTCTGAAAAAAAGCTACACACTTGTCACCTTTATCTTCATCTTGATCGTGTTTATCATTTTAAATTACATTTCTCTCTCTCTCTCTCTCTAATCATTAAAAGTTAATCATCTATCTTATCAGCTTAGATTGTTGTTGAACCTTTAATTGTGATTATCGTTGGTTATTGTTCCCTATTTGTTGATGGATGCGGAAAATTTGTCCTCCATCGTTAGGGATCCATGATAAAGGTTAACATGTTTCTCCAAGATAAATAATCATCTTGATTGTTGTGGTTACACTGTTGATATTAATTTCCACCCTCCTCTTATATTCATCCTCATCCCTTATCATCATCATCCTCTCATTAAATTTGTCGGTTTCTTTAACTTTTTCTTGTTTACTTTTGATAATTAATTACTTTTACAACTGATGATTTTAATTACGATTCTCATCACTGATTACAAACAACAATTTACATTCAACTCGTTTTTATTTATTATAATCATTATCTTCATCGCAATTACAGTTTATTTTTGTCAGTAAATTAAGTTAATCATTTGAGTTGGTCATTGGCATTAGACAACATTTTAATCATTAACAATCAACAGCAGCATCAACAACAACAAGGTAATCTTATTGTTACAATTACTCCGATGTATATTTATCATATGGAAAGAGAAGAAAAAATTTTTTTTCCATTTGCAAATAATCAAATTTAAATTGTTTCCAATCGCCGATAACTATTATTATCATGTTATTGATGATTGGATTCTCATCATTAGATTGTTATTCCATGTTGTTAACTAAATTGCTTATCTGTTTGTTTGCTTTTCTGTGGCTTGTTTTTTATCCAACTTAGTCTATTTTCTTGGTGATATATTTGTTATCATCTTTTATAATGGTATCATTTTCATCCTCATCCTCATCTTCATCTCTCTCACTGTTGCCTGGAAGCGTTGAAAAAACATCTCACCTCTCTCTCTCTCTCTCTCTCTCTCTGTAGGCGTTAGATTTTATATTATTTAGGTATCATCTTCATCTTCATCATCATCATCTTTTTATCATCTCTGTCTCTTGGTTTTTTTATATCATAATCTATTATTGTATCAACTATGTAAACCAATATTTAGGTTGATTTGACAATTTGTTTTCTGTGTAAATAAATTGTCACCTCAATTTAGTGATTAGTATGAAGAAAATAATGTCATTGAAATGAGAGGTGACTGTTGATCCTTTGATATTTGTAATTTACTAATTGTTTAATTGTTTCTCTTTCTTTCTCTCTCTCTCTGTGATATTTAATTAGGATTGCCCTGAGGCTATTCATCAATTAATGTTGGATTGTTGGCAAAAAGATTGGGCTTTAAGACCAACTTTCCCACAGATCGTTAAAACTTTAGACAAATTAATTAAATGTCCTGATAGTTTACAGAAAATTGCACCAACAAGGTAATTGTTTTATAATAAATTAATTGTTTCATTTCAATCAAATTAATTGTGTCATTTTTTTTGTTGTTATTGTTGTTTTTCATTCATTTAGATATCAACCTTTGGATCCATTTAGTGATCCGCCGGTGATTCCTGATGTTATTCAATTTAAATCAATAGATGAATGGTTATCAAGTATTAAATTATCTCGTTACAGAGCTAATTTTGAATCGGCTGGATTAACTAATATCACTTCCGTCTTCCGGTTAATGCCTCAGGATCTCAGTCTATTAGGAATCACCGTTGTCTCTCATCAGAAAAAAATATTAACCAGTTTACAAAATTTACGAGCACAATCAAGCATTGGGACACCCGAAGGATTCTTGGTTTAATTACTAATGAAAGACTATAAATTTATTTAATTTAGACTAATTGGTTAATTGTAATCAATTAATTTCAATGATGATGATGATGATGATAATCATTTCTTGGCTTCCAGAACTTATTTTCCTGTGATTTCCTTGAAACTTTTTCCATGGCTTGGATTCAATTGATTTTCTGGTTCCATTGAAATTTGGAAACAACTTAATCAACTAATTGTTACAATCAACTGATTTTTTTCCAACTAATTGCTGGACTAATTCCAAGTGTTATCCATCATCTTGGCTGGACAATTAAGGAAATTGATTACACTGGAAATTCAATCGACAGTCAATTAATGTCTCTTTTTTCACCAAAGCCTTCCAATGATTTTTTTTACCTTCTAATTGTTACTAATCAATTTGATTTAATTTAGTCAACAATCAATGATAATTTGACAATATATCGATCAATTGTTAAACCTTAATTGCTTAGGTTTCAATTGATTATTCTGTAAAATCCTTTGCTAAAATACCTCAGGCTCAAATACGATAATTTACCTCTGGGATCGAGAGTTAATTGTGATGATAATTAACTTTGATTTTCAATGTTTATGATGACAATTAATTCAATTAATCTGAAATGCTCAAATCAATATCTTGGTGCTTCTCTATTAATCAGAGATAATTAACTTAAATTGTAAAAATGAACTTTTTTTCTTTACGTTTCTTGATTTGATTCCAAGTTGATTTGATTCAGTTTCATTTCTTGTAAATTAACTTTGAATTGTAATTTTAATTTTGTCTAATTCTGTTCAAATTGTTGTACCAATTGACAAGATGGTACAACATGATTAATGTTAATTGTAATCAATTAATCATTGAATAGGATTATAGAGAGACAAGAAAAGTTAATCTAATTGTGATTTTAAATTGAAACTGAAACAAAAACAAACCAATTATGCATTCAAAACTAAATTAACTAATTGTGTAAATAATATCAAACTCTTATAAATATTTATAATTGTAATTTAATAACTTGAAGCTAAAAAACAAATCAACAACAAGTTTGTAAAGGTTAACCAACAATCAACAGTTGATTAATTGTTAATCAACTTTGTTTTTGTCTCTTTTTTTTTGTTTTCAATTGAAAAAAAACTTTTGTAAATCTAATTGTAAATTAATCTTTAATTACTTACCCTAAATTTTAATAATCAAAGACATCACTAGTATATAATATACACACACGAATTGAATTCATCAGAGCAATATAATTAACAATTAACAATTGTTTCTCCAAACAATTAAAAATGACAAACAGATTGATGATAATCAACTCAATCAATTTGTATTGATTAAACTTTTTTTCTGATTCTTTTCGTTCAAACTAATTGCTTACCAATAACTATTCATATCAATGAGAAATCTTATATCTCATCACAACAATTAACTGATCAGTTGTAACAGTTAATTTGGAAAGAAAAAACTAAAATTGTCTTAACATCTAAACAATCAACTTAATCCATGATAAATTGTAAGCAATTAACTAAAACCTAAGTCATTGGAGAAACAGTCAAATGTATAAATAGTAAAAACTATTTAATAATAACAATAAAAAGAAACAATTTTTGATACAATTTTTGTTCAAGTTTAAAATTTTTCTATTCACATTAATTAGCTAATTATGAATGAGTGGACATTTCAAATTGAGATTTGTGACATTAATACTAATTGTTGACGCGAAAACCATGAAAAGATTTGCTCGTGTAAACTTGGAATCGAAGGAGACTCGAGAATCGAATGTAAAAAAAGTCGAGTGAAAGTTCAAGCGATTATGGAAATCGAGCTCTTTGTTAGGCCAATGTCTCCGATTGTTACAATTGCTTTGAATGTTTCGAAAGCGGAAAGTGGCTTTTGTACATCTTCTTGTGAGAACGACCAGTCTTGTCCCCTTGGTTTTGTCCGTGAATCGGATGAATGTAAAGCGGCTTGTCGATCTGATATCGAATGGCCATCCATTGGTGCCCGTGTGAATCGATGTTTGTTGATCGCCATCCGCTTTTGGTGCTTTAAAATGTATCGTAATTAATCATTCACTTTGGTGCAATTGTCCACTTCGGTTACTTGGTAATCCTCAATTAACGGATTGAATTTTTCTCTCATGCTGATTGTGATCAGTTTCCATTGAATTTAGTGGATATAATTTCAATCATTTAGATATCAACATTCGATCCATTAACTGACCCACCGGTGATTAACAACAAACAACAACGGTCCAACAATTAACTATCAAAATCCAAAATAATTTTCAACCAATTAACTAAAACCCAAGGAAAAACAATCACATGTATAAAAGTAAATCCTATTCAACTGTAACAGTAAAAAGAAACAATTTTTGAAACCATTTTTCCAATCGAAAATTTTTCTATTCACCTTAATAATTAGCTAATTGTCGATGAGAAAAGAAAATTTCTAATTTAATTGCTGCTCTTTTTTGAGTTCAATTCGAAAATTCAAAAAAGGCGCTCAAAAGATGCGAGCGAAAGAGTAACTAAGTCGTTGCCATGGTTACACTTGGAAGGAAACGGAAACTCCAAGGGTTCAGTTTTAAGAAAAAAGTTAATTTGATTATTAATTAATTAAGTGATAAATTAATTTAATTAAGTGTTGAATCTTGTAACAATCGATAGAGTAAAACTTGGTGCATCGAATGAGACCCTGGGTAAGTTTAAAGTTCGATTATAACTTAGAGTTTTTTACCTCTTAACTTTTTGCCACAAAACAACCACTCAGAATACATACACTCAGAATACAAACATTAAGAATACAAACACTCAGAACAATTAATTCTAACTACTTCTTCTTTCTCATTGACCTAATTAACAACAGGAAATTAATGATGACGGAAATATCGAGATTAATTAAGGAAATTGGAACAGCCATCACCTCCAATATTACTTACGAAAGTTTGGTTGAAAAGATGACGGAAAAAGGCCTGTGCGAGGCAGTTGTTAAAATTAATTGTCAATTACAAGACGAGAGTGAAGTTTCATCCTGGTCACTGGAGATATTGTCTCAGCCAATCAAATAATGAAGTTTTTTGGAGATAAAGTAAACCTAAGGAAAACCCCAAGGAGAACACCTCAGAAACAAAAGAATCAAGTACCTGCCAATCAACAAACACTCTCACAATTTATTGGAAAAAAGAGAACAAGTGCTTCTATTCTCAACACTCCAAATAAAAAGAAAAAAGTTGATCAGGTTGATCTTGTCAGCACAGGAAGTGATACTCCAGATGAAGTTAACTTGGATGTGGTTACTGACACAGAAGTTAATTTGGATGTTGTTACTGATACGGAAGTTGATGTCCAACAATCGGAGATAGAAGATATTAACTTTGATGTTAACGCCGTTGGAGTAACGATTGATGATTACCATCTAAGTAAAGCCAAGAGATCAAAGGTAATCTCGAAGAAATATAAAGAAGAAGAGGAAGTTCCTGAAGGCTGGTACAAGGTTGATCACCTTTCGCCCAAACCAATTGTACTCATTGAAAAAATCGAGAAGATAGATGAGATTGAGTTAATGTTGGAACATGTTAAAGGCATCCTTGAGGTTGAAGACTCAGATTTTGGAGAGATCGATGATATCACAACCACAAATAGATTTGTTAAAATCTCCTTCAAGAACACTCATAATAGGGATGTTTTCTGTCGTTATGCTGAGAAAAATCAGGAAGGTTGGAAAGTCACAGTTCCCACTCTGAGAAACCCTTGTTTAAGAATTGTGAATATTGACAGTTTAATTCATCTTAAAGATGAGGAAATCATTGAGAGAATTGTAAAGAAAAACAAATTAACTCTGAATGAGGAAACTATTATCAAAATCGTTCATAGGGCCAACAGGAAAAATGGAATGACCCTTATTCTTGAGGTTTCTCCGATTATTAGAGAAATTATATGCAGACGAAAGGGTAAACTAATGATAGGTTACAAAACTTTCCAAGTCTCAGATAATTTCGGGATTAAAATCTGTCATACTTGCTTATCGTATGGCCACAACAATTGTAATCAACAGATCTACTGTCGATACTGTAGTTTGGGTCACATTGGCAAATGTCAAATTAAGGGAAACAGAAAACTTTACAAATGTAAATCTTGTATGAGAAGTGGTCATCAATTTAATGACCCGACTTGTGAAGTTTTCCAAACCAAAATGTCTTATGAACTTCAGTACATAAATTATACATATGACTGGGTTATGGCTGCTAAGCTAGAATGATCATAATTGTATTTGTCTCCTCTTAATCATGTTAAATACAAATCTCTTACCCAATCTCTTTGTATCTTTGTAACAGACACTGAATGAACACAATTATTTTTGTGAAATAAAAACTTTTCATCTTCATTTCTTACAACTTAATTGTGCAAAAAATGAAGAAGCAACTTTAAACTTGATGTTATCAGATCCAGAGATAATTCTGGTTATCCAGGAAGCTAATCTAAAAGGATTAAGGACGATTGATGGAACTAAACTTATTGTTAATGGTCAAACAGTCTTGAGATTCCCGAAAACATTTAATCTTATTCATGTTGATGTCACAATGAGGAGTATTATTTATTGCATTGTTGAATTGGGAAATACTCGTTTCAACCTCTTCAATGTTTATTTGCATAAGAATAATAATAATATGAAGACGAATGCTCTCCTCCTGGTCAACCGGTTGGAAAAGATCTATGAGCCTCTAATTGTGATGGGCGACCTCAATTTCCAATCTTTGCTTTGGGCACCGAGAAAAATGATGAATTCTTCGCGCTCAGCATGGTTTGATATTCACATAAGACCCAGAATACCTCAATTAAAATCCGCTGTTTTACCTTTGGTCAAAATTTTACGAGAACTAGTACTGGTTGTCAATTAACCTCGGTTGATATATCGATGTAGTTCTGGGTAAGCATTGACTGTTGATGTTGAACTGTCGATCAGCAGAATACAGATCATCGAATGCTTAAATCTCTAGCCACGATTACTGTTCCAAAAAGGAAACCACACTTCAAACAGATTCATAAAATAAGACATTACAATGTTAAACTCACAAGTGCTGCGGTTAACCCTAAGGCCCAAATTGACTTGGTCGCTCGTAAAATACTTAATCTTCCTTATGAGAATGGTACGTGGGTTAGATCTCATCGACTGAGTAGGAGACTAACGAAGCTGATGAAACGGAGAGATTCTCGAAGCAAAAGGATAATCAAATATAAACTGGCCAAGTTTAATCCTCTCAAAATACTAGAAACGACCAAAGATCAGAATAAAAAATGGCAAATGATAAATTCAATCATTCTGAATCGAAGGAAAAAACCTCCGATTGAACAACTGATGAAAGGTAATTCTGCCTTAGCGGAACAGGTTCACCTCACTGTTCGACAATTTAAATTCTCGAGACTTAAAGTTAAAAATGAGCCAGTTTTAAATAATGAAGGGTGTTCACTGACTCCCAGGGAGTTGGAAAAGATTGAGAAATTTTCAACTTCAAGCTCTGGATGCGCTGATCTCTACAACATCAAGCAGTGGAAATTAATGATGAATAAGAATCGGGAACTTATCAGCTGTTTAATCAATCAAATGTTTATACAAAATTACATCCCTGAGTTCCTCAAAGTTTCAGGAGTCTCGATGCTTGTTAAGCCCGACAATGTATCTATAAGAATGATTAAGTTACAAAATCATATCTTGAAAATTGTGGATCGAATCATATCAGATAGACTCCAGGTTTATCTTCCTTGCCTGATTGATGCTCCTCAATTTGCTTATCAGGAAAAAGTGGGCAGACTAAATGCTGCTGCAGAACTGGAAAGACTAATTAATCATGATGATATCCTGGTCAAACTTGATTTGACCAAAGCCTTTGATAACATCGATATGGTATCAGTTTATGAAAAAGTCGAGCACATTATTGATGACAACACCTTCATGATGCTGAAAGCCTTTTGTGAAAATAGATGGTGTAAGATCAAATTCGAAAGGAGGACTTTTTACATGCCGGACAAAGGTACACCAGCGGGTTCAAGTTGTGGTCCTTTAACTTTTATTCTGGGAATTGATAATACCTTAGTTGAGATAAACTCAAAGCTCAGACTGGTCAGTTATGCAGATGACATCGTTCTGGTCTTACCCATCACGGAAATCAACGGACTTGCGGAAATACTTCAGTGGATCATGAATCTCTTCATGAAGAAAGGTTTAACCCTGAACATGAAGAAGACCATTATTCAAACAAGAAGCAACATTACGACGAGAAGCCTTAAGGACCTGCCGATTAAAGTGGAAACCGGAATGAATTTCTTGGGTTTTAGACTCAAGAATACAATTAATCACTTCTCACTTGAAGAAAATCTGAGTAAAGCTTTAGATTGCCTTAAGCCTAACATAACGATCATCCAGAAACTCAACATCAAACTACAAAGAGAGATTCTAAATGCCTTCATTGGTTCATCTTTAAGTAATATCACGGCGGATAATCTTATTACTGATGGTGGAAACTTATTTGACATGGAAAAACGGCTGATTCAAATGATTAACTTTACAAATGAATATTTTCAAGTTTTTACGGGAACGAAAGGTCTTGGTAAATGGTCGCAATATTACATTAAAGGAATAGTTAATCCGTGGCTTACACACCTGGAAACACTCATAATGAATCGTTTGGACGCAGGAGATAATCTACATCCTCTGGTTCGACTTTTTTCATTGGATCAGGTTCAAATTAAAAAGATGCTTCCGGATTTTGTAATGGAAAAGAAGAGGACGACAACTTTAGGAGATAATGTTATCGAATTAGTAAAAATTAGTGGGGGAAGGTTCGGTGCGACCCTGAACGATGAACTGGTTGCATTTGATGGCGAAAATTGTGCTAATATTCATCTAGCATTAATTAATGTTTTATTTAGTATTGTCTCTCAAGTAGGTTCAAACATTGTTACCACTTTTATCATTCCGAGTGAAATTTCAAGGGCCAATAGTTGGATGGAAGTTAAAAGAATTCTGGTACTTTATGAACACGATTGGAACTGGTGCGAAGGAGGCTCAGTCAGGAGAAATAGATACAGACCCGGACATCAATTAGAATTGTTACACTGGACGACGAGGAATATGCAGAGGAAAAAGGTGAAAATCGCCCTGACGAAGTTCTTCACTTTCATGATGCGGATGCAAAACTCTTATATTCTAAACCTTAACCCTTCACTTTGGAAATTACCTCACTACATTGGGATTAAGAGACTACTTTTTCTGATGAAAGGATGTATTTATGTTAAGGATAATTGTACGACAAGGGAACACAAACTTATTCATCTTCTTATTGAATGTAAAGCTCAGAAAACACCTCCGATTCCTAGAATTGATCTGAAAAGATTTCTACCTTCAGTAATAGATAAATTACAGTCTATTCTTTCATAAAAGGCGGCAAAAGCCTTTCCTGTAGGGTCGCTTTAGTGTTGCCCCTAGTTACCTCCGGAAACGGAAGGTTGCTCTGTATAAAACAGGTTCCATTGTGAATGAATAAACATCAAGTTTTTTGTCCTCCATTTTGTAATTTTGTTGATAAATTATTTTCCATTTGGTTAGTTGATTAATTGTATTTCCATTGTATTATTAGTATTATAAATATATATATATTTTTTTTTCTTCCTTTTTTCCCTTTGAAATAATAACCAAAAAACTAATCATCTTGAATCTTGTAAAAAATAAATATCATCAGACACTATGAAAGACTGTGACACTGAGTGTCCGAGGAAAAAGTTAAAATTATCAAATCTTGAATATGAACCTTCCTGTATATTGGAATATCTTGAACACAAGTATAAAACATTACGTGAAATGTGTGTAGACCACCTGTTAGAATTGTTCTACCTTGAACATCAAGGACCTTTTATGGACTATTATAGTTGGCGGAAAAAACCGTTTTCAGTTGACCTACTGCAATATCTTAATGAAAATATTCCTGGTAAGGATTTTGTCCAGTTACAGCCTCTCTCTCAGCCAGTTCCATCATCACTATCACAACCACATCAAGCAGTAACAGCTACCGCCGCTCCTATTGTACCAGTCACCGCGTCCATATCCATTTCTATCGCCTCAGAAAGTATCACCACAATAACAACATCAGTACCTACAATCACATCAATCTCATCGACCACCTCAATAACCACAACCACATCATCTACTAGTGTTAAAACTTCAACAATTCCTTCAAGTTCATCCTCACCAACTCCTAACCTTGTAGCAACACCTACTACCACCAATAAACAGCATTCCATCGCGTCCGTTTTTGATAACTTCATCGGTGAAGATGGCGCTTATCGAGCTAAACAAGAAGCCATTGTCATGAGTAGAATTGCCGAATTAAGAAAAGAAGGCCTCTGGTCAGCTAAAAGATTGCCAAAAGTACAAGATCCTCCAAGAGCCAAAGCACATTGGGATTATCTATTAGAGGAAATGGTCTGGTTGGCCACAGATTTTGCTCAAGAAAGAAAATGGAAAAAGACGGCAGCCAAAAAATGCGCTAGGATGGTAATGAAATATCATCAAGATAAATGTATGCAAGCAGAAAAGGCCGAAAAGGAAGAAATCTTGAGGCTGAGAAAAATAGCTGCAACCATATCCAAAGAAATTAGAACTTTCTGGTCAACAGTTGAAAAATTAGTGGAATATCGACAACAGACAAGACTCGAAGAGAAGAGAAAGAAAGCATTAGATTTACATTTGAATTTTATTGTCGATCAAACTGAAAAATACTCATCTTGGCTCGCTGATGGCTTATCTAAACCAATTATAAGTACAACATCAGGAGGTAGTGATAATGGTTCAACAATTGAATTAAATGCTAGCTCTAAATTAAGCAGCGTGTCTGGTGATCAGGAATTCGAGCCAAACACGTTAAATGAATCTGATGACGAAGAAACTATCGCCAAAGACGAAGAGGAATATGGGACGGAAGATAATAAGAAAGAATTGGATCTGCTTAAAAAAGAAAGTGATATGTTAATTGAAGATGTAATTAGCTCTCAGACTGATAATGTTCAACAAACGGAAATAATGACAAAGGAAAACGCTGATCAGACTAGTCGTGATGAAGATTTCAAATTAGAATCAGCTGAAGAAGAAGAAGAAGACGATGAAGAAACAATTGCTGAACAAGAGAAGCAAGAGAAAAATATCGATTATAGTGGTGAAATTAAGGAATTAGAAGATGAGGCCAACTTATCCATAGACGAATTAAGGAAAAAATATACAGATCTAGATGAAATCGTTCTCTCCGATGGCGAGGAAGGTTACGAAAGTACCGGAGAAAGTGACGATGAGACTAATGAAGATACTGAAAATGATGACGAAGCTTTAACAGGAGATGAATCTGAACCCGAAGAACTTGGTATGGAATCGTTACTTGATGGTGACTCAGAAAGTAAAGAGACTCCATTGATTGAAGTAAGTGTTTCTCTATTGATTGTATTCACTTTCTCTCCAAGGACTTTCTTTTTTGCCTCTTTAGTTTACATTACCTTCTCTCTCTCTAATGGCTCCGAATCCTTTAAACTTATCAAATTCCTCTTTCTCTACTGCTTGTATCTTCATGCAAGGTCATTTTCTTTGTAAACATTGATTCTAATTAATTTCTCACTCTCTCTCTCTCTTTTTTGCTATTTTCCTGTTTTTTTACCTTGATTAACTTTTAAAGGTCGTTTCTTCCGATGGCAAGAAAGTTGCGGCTGATCCAAACAAAGACATCAGTGATATTGCCGCTGGAGCTGAAAGTATTAAACCAAAAGGATTTACATTATCCACAGCGAATGTTGTTACCAAAGTTCCTTTTCTTCTTAAACATACACTCAGAGAGTATCAGCATATCGGTTTAGACTGGCTCGTAGCGATGTGTGATAAAAAATTAAATGGTATTTTAGCTGATGAAATGGGTCTTGGTAAAACGATTCAGACCATTTCCTTATTAGCTCATCTTGCCGTTGACAAGGGTATTTGGGGTCCTCATCTTATTGTTGTGCCAACAAGTGTAATGCTCAATTGGGAAATGGAGTTTAAAAAATGGTGTCCCGCCTTTAAGATACTTACTTATTATGGTAATCCGAAAGAAAGAAAATTGAAAAGACAGGTACATAATTAACTCAAATTAATTGATCTTTTTTGTTTATTAAACCTCGATTCGAGTCTTAGAGTCACTTTTTGGGAAAATTAATTCTCAAATGAGTGCTAAAGATTCTCGAAAATTGAAGCTCTCTTATGCGCTGGTTGCTTATCTTATATGTATTCTCGGTGATCAAATTCTGCAACAACTCATTTGTTTTTTTATTTGTTTCTTCAAAATTTTTTTCTCTCAGGGTTGGACTAAACCAAATAAGTTCCATGTTTGTATCACATCGTATAAACTTGTTATTCAAGATCATCAAGCCTTTAGGAGGAAAAAGTGGAAATATCTTATTCTCGATGAAGCTCAGCATATCAAAAACTTTAAATCTCTTAGATGGCAAATGCTTTTGAATTTTAATTCATCTCGTCGTCTACTTCTCACTGGAACTCCATTACAAAATAATCTCATGGAACTTTGGTCTCTTATGCATTTTCTGATGCCCAATGTATTCGCATCTCATAGAGATTTTAAAGATTGGTTCGTGAATCCTGTCACTGGTATGATTGAGGGTAATCATGAGTATAATGAAAATATAATTAGGAGATTGCACAAATTACTGAGACCATTTCTGTTGCGTCGTATCAAAGATGAAGTCGAAAAACAGTTACCAAAGAAGATAGAACATGTGATCAGTACTCGTCTTTCCAAGAGGCAAAGATATTTATATGAAGAATTTATGAGCCTTGCCAAGTAAGTTCCCTTTTAATCAATGTATCTTATCGTTATCCCAAAAGTTTACATTCACAATCTTATTGATGAGTAATAACTTTTAATAACTTTCGATAATTGTATTGAAGTAAATACGAGTCTAGAGTCACTCCTTTAGACTTATTATTCTAGAATGAGTGCTAAAGATCCTCGAAAAATAATGCTAATCTATGCGTTGGTTTTTATTAATATGTAAATTCCGATCACACGAGCGGCTACATTTTCTTTTCATTTCATTTCATCTCATCAAATATCTAATTGATTTTGTACTTTGATGATAAACTCGTGCTTTTTGAGTTTCTTATAAAAAGTCAATTCGGATTCTGGCTATAAATTATCAATCACAAAGTTTCTCATTTTAACCCTTTTTTCATCTTTTTTGTTTGTTTGTTTACAGAACCAAAGAAACTCTTGCCTCTGGTAATTTTCTGAGTGTGATAAATGTTTTGATGCAACTAAGAAAAGTATGCAATCATCCAAATCTGTTTGAACCGCGGCCAATTACCTCTCCGTTTTCCATGGAAGGGATCACTTACCATACTGCATCATTAGTTACTACACCTTTGGATTATGATCCATTTAGGAATGTCAATCTAGATTTTTTAAATTTAAGATTTGTCAATTATTCTGTTCCTCCGTCTTCACTTAGTGCAATAGCACAACATAGAATAAGTGAATACCAAGCATCTCATAGATTAATTGAAGAAATCGATTCAGCTCCTCCCCCACCACCCAGAATTCCCAAAGCAAAGCTACAGCTTCGCATCAACGTTAAAACAAATACATCTGCCATCCCATCTCCATCAATACAACTTCAGAAAGGTTTTCAAATTCAATCAAAAACATTACCCTCTGTACAGATTAGATCTTTTAATAATATTCCATTGATTGTTGGCTCTGGTCAAACTCAGACGGCTCAATCAAATTCAATCCAAGGACCTAGGTTATTTTTATTATCCGCTCCAAATAATTCAGCTTTTACTCCTTTAAAAACCAGTACAACAATAGGTAACTCAGGTGTCATTGTCACTGACAATAATTCCTCAGTATTGGGTGGGACTCCTGGAAGTATTGTAAAAAAATTGACATTGACTAAATCTCTTCCACCCGTCCAGTCAAGTGTTTTAACTAATCAACGGGTTAAAATACCCATTGGAAAGTTGTTACAAACATCATCAGGACAACATATTCTGGTTAATCCTGTACAATCTTCACTGGTTAATCAGTCTACGCCTATTGTTTTCCCCGGTAATGTAAATATTTCACAAAGTTTAACTCAATCAAGAGTCAGTCTTGCTGAAAAGCAATCAAATAGTAAGTTTCCAATCTTTATTTTATTTTAGTTCTTTTTTTCTTCTTCTCACTATCGAGACAACCAAATTGGGTTTTTCCTTTCTTTTGGGTTAAATACAACAACGTCTCGTAAATTATTTAAAGATTTACAATCCACTTAGGCGCACTAACTTATTGCACACTAGGCCAGCTTACCTATCAAACATAACTAATGTATTTTAATTATTTGCATTTCAGGTGATATTCCAAGTGAGAAGAATGATAATTCACCCTCAGAAAGCCATACCAAGATCTTGGACGAAAGGAGATACGTTGAAAGAAGAGAAAAGCTTCGTCGAATATCGAGGATAAACGCACGTCGATGTTCATCAACGGCACTTTATGCTCCAGATCTTATTCAAATGTCCACCGTCTCAAGTCATCCAAGTCAAATCTGTGTGGAATCCAGATTAGGAAACTCTATCTACAACAATGGTCAAGGATACTTTCATTGTATTCATAATCAACTTCGTGACCGTCGACCAAGAGATTTTTTTTATTACTCTGATTGTTTAACAACCATTTTAAAGACTCCCGAAGACCTTACCAATGATCTCAATGATGTTCTCAAAAGATATGTTTTCCTTGTGCCACGAGTTTCATCCCCTCAAATTCAATTGCATGTTTCTCATCCAACACCTTGGAAAACACAATCCGAATCAAATATGATTGAAGATCTACGAATAGGATTATCTTCTAAATGTGATTTACTTCATCCAATAATATCAAATTTTAGAACACAATTTCCTGAATTACGATTAATTCAATATGATTGTGGTAAACTACAAAAACTGGATGAACTTTTATACGAATTAAAACAAGGCGGTCATCGCGTATTAATATTCACCCAAATGTCTCGAATGTTGGATATTTTTGAACAATTTCTTAACTATCATGGTCATACTTATCTCAGATTGGATGGCTCAACAAAGATTGAGCAGCGTCAAGCACTCATGGAAAGGTTCAATGCCGATAAACGAATATTCTGTTTCATTTTGTCCACTCGCTCGGGTGGAATCGGTGTTAACTTAACCGGAGCTGATACTGTGATATTTTATGATAGTGATTGGAACCCAACTATGGACGCTCAAGCTCAAGATAGATGTCATCGAATCGGACAAACAAGAGATGTTCATATTTACAGGTTAGATTTTCCTATTTCTCTTTAAAATGTTGACATTTAATTAATGTTTATTAATCTTTCTTTTTTATTCGCACAGATTGATAAGTGAGAAAACTGTTGAAGAAAATATCCTTAAAAAAGCAAAACAAAAGCGTCTCCTTGGAGATGTTGCGATCGAAGGGGGTAATTTCACTACAGCGTTTTTCAAGAAGGATACACTTCATGACTTGTTCGGTGATGTGGACACTGGTGCCAAGAAAATGGAAAGTGAAAAAGCGCCAGAAACAACAATTTCTAGTGAAGAGAGAAAGACTCCAGTTCCTGAAGAAAGTAACAAAGTTCTTGTTGAATTGGAACAAGCATTGGGAACAGCTGAAGAAGACAATGACGTTGCTGCTGCTAAAACAGCTCGAGCTGAAGCAGCGGCAGAATATGCTGAATTTGATGAATCTATTCCACTTGATATTGATGGTGAAAAGGGTGAAGAAAAATCACCAGTAGAAGATGAACTTGATAAAATCATTGAACAGGTATTTAGAAAAGATTATCTCATATCTCTCATATACCCTTTTTAGTTAACTTTTTTTTCCTAATTATCTGTCCAATTTATCCCGATACTTAGCTTACTCCTATTGAACGTTATGCTATGCAATTCTTGGAATCAATTCAAGAGCCTTTCACAACAGAACAGCTTAAGCAAGCTGAGGTAAGAATATGGTTACAATTGAATAGTCAGAATGGTACAGGTTTCGTTGTTTACGCTAATTTAAAACTTTGTCTCTTTGTTTTCAGGAGGAAATTGAAGCTTCTAAAAAAGAATGGGAACTTGGACATCTCAAATCTTTAAAAGAAGAGGAAGAAAGAGCTACCAACGGAAGTGATAGTGACCAAGATGATATCTTAGCCATGTCGAGAGAAGAAGCTTGTCAGGTTAATAATCGTAGCCATAAAAGCCGATCCTCCTCTAAATCCACAAAGAATACTGATCAGACGGGTGGGGCTACAGTTACACCAAAAACAGTTTCTGCTGGAGTGACAACTCGTAAATCTAGAAACAAGTTGAATAGCAGTTCAGTTGAAACAAAATCAGCTGTAACTGAAACTCCTAAAATGAATACAAGACCTAGCAATCGTTCTCGCCGGTTCACTTTAAGCCCTACCTTAATATCTCCACCTTCTGAGCAGAGATGCGTGCAATCTCCTCGTAAATCTCGACCCTCTAGATCTCCTAGAACAGCCTCCTTATCTTCATCCACATCTCCAGTGACTGAATCATCATGTCGCTCAAATGTTAATTCTAAAAATGATGCAACTCCAATTAATGAAACTGGATGTCGAACTCGACGTTCAACTAGTTTTTTGAACAAAAATGGAACATCAGTTTCTCATTCACCCAATGATTCCTCTAGTAGTCCCATCTCATCCCCAACTAAGAGTAAAGCCTATGCTACTCGAAGGTCGAATGAGAGATAGCATTTGCGAATTTAGCTTGATTCGAATTCTTTTTTTTCTCTCTAAATCAAATTTCCTGTGATACTTCATCTCAAATCCTATTTGCCACTCAATCTAATTGTTAATTAACTTGTTTGTCCACCACTGTTGCTTTGATGACTGATCTCTCTCTCTCTCTCTCACTCTCATTCTCTCTCTCTATCTCCTTCTCACCTTTGTAAATTGACAATGATTAGAAAAAATATTTTACTTTCTTCTAATCTTCTAATAATTTTATCGCTCACTTTCTTAGTTTGTGATCTCCTCACAGATTCTCACTTTCCAATTGATTGCATTTATTTGCTATCATAAATTGAAAATGATTTTATATAGTTATTGTTGACGTTTCACAATGTTATCAATCTATTAATTGCGTATTAATAGAAAATTAAGGTCTACAAATAGTTGAATGGTTATATCGTCTTTCTCTTTTGCATGTCTCTCTCTTTTCCTTGTCGAGCTTAATTTTTTTCTCTTTCTTATAATTGGAATCACCTTAAAGTCACGGAGAAGATTAGGAATTGTTCTATTCTATTCTAAAAATCCCATTGAAGAGGCTTAAAAGGAAGTTAGAGTCAGATACGACGGAGAAACACGCAATTGTTTTTGTTTTCTGATTCTCATTTCTTTTGGTATTTTCACCACCAAGAACTGCTCTGTTTTTGTGAATCACTTTCATCAACTCTCTCATAGTCATCAGTCTTTCAACTAAACCTGAATGATTATGACTAAATAAGAAAAGCACATTTCTTTTTTTTTCGTAACTGTGTTTTCCTTATGCTAATACTGATGGCTTATCAATAAGACTTTTTTTCTCATTTGTCCAATCAAAACACATTACCTTTTAATGAGAAAAAAAAACGAGGACAGATTCACTTATTTGTCATCAAATTCTCTTCTAAACAAAACTATAATAACTGTGTCAAGCTTGATTGTTTAAGTTTCGATTAAGAAAAGAGGAAACCAACTAGTTGCTGAGAAGCTCAGATGATAAAAGCGAGAATTTAAAAAAGTTAAATAAGGTACTTGCAACAATTAATTTAAACAGCTCTTGGTTTGTCTGATCCCTTTTGCACCATTTTGAAACTCATTTCTTTTGGTTGTTCAAATTTCGATTTTTATTTTTCGTTTTATTTTTCGAGATCATTTATTTAAACTAAAACTTAGACAAATTCAAATAATTTTCAGCTTTACAATTATTTATTCTGCTGATTTTATCCAATGAGCTTAACCCATTGATTGTTTTTTTTAATTATCTCAATTCAGTTTAATTGAGTTTCTCTAGAAGCAAATATTTATGATGAGAGTTAGTGCCATCTTATTAGAATTTGTAAAAAATTATCTTCAATTACAAACCAGAGGAAATGTTCTTGTTAAGCAAAAATACCAAAGGAAATGGGATGCATTTGGGATGACCAACCCTGTTCCATACTAAGTCAAGGTATTCATTGAATCTAATCTTTTTCTTTTATTTCTTTTCTTTTATCAATCTTGACTTTATTTTAGGTTTACATCTCATACAGTTCAACTGGAATGGAGCAAATGCCTGTTTGGACTCCACCAACACCACCACAAGACTCAAATGATCTTTACATTGACTATTCTTTGGCATTCACTTACGAAACTTCGGTTATGCCTGAATCTCAAGTCCCCCCTGTTTATGTTGCCAAAGAAAACAAACGTTTGAAATTAGATCATAGAGTCATTGCTCGTAATAAACAACACAAGTTACGCAAAGATGAAGTTATCAATATTCCTAGATCATTATTTGATAATACAATTCCAGCTTTGCTTAAACTTCGTCGTGAGCTTCGTCTACAAAAATTGAAAGGTCTATTTACCGGTGGTCCTGATGTTCATCGTTTAACAAAAACACTCATCTCCATTGGAGCCAATGGTAATCTACCTCAACCACCAACTCTCACTCAACAAGCAGCAAATAGTAAACAGCCTCAAGTTTACCTTCAAGGTCTTCAATATGAAAGTCAAATCCATTGGAACATTAATGAAGATTGGGCCATTCTACGTGTTATTCAATTCCATCAAGAGTTATGCCTTAATCTATTAGTTCTTACTCCAGGCCATATTCCTAATTGGGATCTAGTTTCTGATGCTGTTAATTCTGAAGCTTTCAATTTTAGATCCCCTAAACTTTGTCGTCATCACTATGAAAGTGTTGTTCTACAGCGTGAAGAGGGTAAACTATTACATGATCCTTCCCCCAAGAAAAGTAAAAAACTGCAAAAAGCTGCCGTTGCTGCAGCGGCCGCAGCAGCAACGGCAGCAGCCGCTTTGGCTGCCACACCAAATACAACAAATTCCCCTGTCCCTTCAGGGCAAGCAACTTCTACTCTACCTAAACCTAGTCAAGGCAGGCCAATGCGAACAAGTCACATTTTCCTACAAGATAAAAATCATTCATTTACACAATTCTGCAACTCCCGATTTGAAACCATCAAGCAGATAGCAAATAAAAAGCAGCCAACAGTGAAATTATTTTTAAATGCAACTGGTAAGAATCCCAAACATATTGCAATGCTGGGTGAATATGGTATTAATTATGATCAGCCGATGACTCCTATGCAAATAGCTCTGAATAGAGCAGAAAGATTGGATAAAGAGAAAGCTAAAACTAGACAGCAGCAAATTACTGAACAACAATTATTATCGTAAGTTAATTTTGTTTTATTTTCATTCATCACTGTTAAAAGATATTAGGAATTTAACTTTTCTATTTTTTTTATTACGTGTCTCTATTTAAACAGAGAAGCACAGAAACAAATTGTTCGGCAGAAACAACAACAACAGCAGCAACAATTACAAAGACAAGTGTCTGTCAATCAACTTGCTCAGCAAGGAGGAGGAGGTGGTGGAGGTATTGTTGCTCAGAGACCTACAATGAGTCAACCAGCAACTCAAATTTTTACGTAAGCTCATCTAAATCTCTCTCTCTCTCTCTCTCTCTCTCTAACCTGTGTAATTATTTTCTCTTCTTTGCTCACCATAATTATTTTCTTGTTTTTTCTCTTTCTTCTATTCAGTGATAAACAAGCTCAATCTGTTCATCAGCAACCAACACCCCAACCAACTTTACCATCTACTTCACAATTGCAAACACAAATACTGAGTCACGTTCAACCGCAAGCACAAGCATCAGCATCAGCATCAGCATCAGTAGCACCATCAACATCAGCATTAGCACCAACAGCACCAGCACAACCTCAAGTACAAGCACAAACTTCACAAGCGATTCAAATACCTCAACAATCTCAAGGGCAAATTATTCAATTAAAGCAACAGCCCCCACTCAAAACCGTTTATCACGGACCATCGATAACGTTACAACCCTCTCAACAACAACAATTTCAACAAGCTCTTCATCAAGCTAAAGTAACTACATTTAGTCAATATTCTGGTAACAAAGCACCCAATACCCAATTTGTCATGACTAATTTTGGAACGGCAAATAATCCTCAAATTACCAAAGCTCTTAATCATCTTGTTGGTCTTGGCCAATCTTCTCAATCAAATGCATCCTTGGGTCAAATGGGCACAGTTCTACCTCAAGCTACTCGAATAACCGCTTCAACAAGCAGTGGTGGTACAGTTCACATACCAATTGCCGCTGTTCAAGGTATTGTTTCAGGGGCTCAAACTCCAACAGTTTCGGTATTATCTTCTCAACCAAGCGGAGCAGTTCTTTCAGTTACAGCCTTGCCACAGAATCAAAATCAGAAAATTTTAGCTGCTACAATAATTCCTTCTAATAGCCCTCAAGTGGCGGGCACGAATATCACTCAGAGTCAATTGCAGCAAGTTTTCAAGAGCCAGTTGCTTCTTAGGCAGCAACAGCAAAAACAACAACAGCAACAACAGCAGCAGCAACAAGCTTCTCAGCAACAGCAACAGCAACAGGCTTTGCTACTACAATCTCAACAGGCCTCTCAGCAGCAACAGCAACAACAACAACAACTGCAACAACAGCAACTCCAGCAATTACATCAACAACAACAACAACAACAGCAGCAGCAACAACAACAACAAATTACCCCACAACAACAAGCAATGAATGTCGCAATCCCCCAGGACACTGTTCCAAATCCATCCAAAAGATTAGCCAACACGCTGGATCAAAGTAATTCACTGATAAAATAGTTGGTTAATTATTGAAACAATGGTAACAAGTAAACACTGAATTCAATTATAACAAATTGAAATGAATGAGAAAAAAAATCAAGACAAAAAAACAAAACAAAATCAACTAACAAACACAAGCTCTTAAGGCGCAATCTGAAAAAAATAATAACAATCAAATTTACCAACTACTAAATTAGAGCAGATCGAGAGTCCAGTTGATTGTTATCTTTTGATTGTTGCTAACTATTATTGTAATAAAATGATTAATAAAATCGTGAAATCGTGTATATGATCTATTGCTATTACATAATTTATTTGACATTGAATAAACATGATTTACTAATTGTTGAAAAGAGTAAGACAAAGAGAGTGGGATAAACCCATTAAATAGCATTGACTTTTCATCTTCCACCTCCTCCACCTCCACCTCCCACCTTCAACTATTAACCAAGAGTTTGGGATAATTTTTATTTATAAGAAAGTCCAAACTGTTAATCTAGTATCAGTTATCAACTTGATCTAATAACGATAACAACTAATCAACAATTAACTAAGTGAGGTAAAAGTTTTGGATCAAAGTTTTTCTCGATTGATCCAAAAAAAAGTTTTCCATTTGTGATTAAGTTTCTATCGCCGAGTTTTTTAAATTAACTTAGCTTCCAACTGTTAACCATCGATCTCGCCAATCATGGCCTGGATCAATCAGTCACTAATTAGTTGCGTATTAAAAACAACCCTTGCTGTTAATTTGTTATTAACTTTGATGACTGGAAATGTTGGTTCATTGGATACAAGTGAAAATGAAATAATAACCAGTGAATCAGCTGATCTTCATGTAGCCGAATCGATTCCAGATAAAGCTTATTCATCCGGTTCAATGGACGAGGGACACCACGAGTCTGGTGGTAAATTACATTACCAATCCCACCACGGGGAGAAGGCGGCAGGCCATGGACATTCAGATAATTTCCGTGAAGCGGGTCACCTAAAGAAAGGGAAGGGCGGTCATCGCTACCATGACGCTGGTTCTCACCATAAGGAAGCGGGTTCCTCGGTGGGTCATGTAGACTCTAAGGCCCATAAAGAGCATAAGAAAGTTTTAAAACACAGTTGGGATCGTGGCGGTGGATTCGTTAAAAAGTGGCACTGGGACAAAGGTAATCACCTTGAGAAGGAGCATTCTGATGCCTCAAAGAAACACTTAGCCCATAAGAAGCATCATCATCACCAAGAAGCCGGAAAACACAGTAAAGGTAAAAAAGCTGATCATCAACACCACAAAGAGGTAAGAGCTTAATTATAATCGGCTTACAACAATTGAGATAAAATAATTTGACTGATTTGATTTTTATTTTTCCCTTGGCTTTAGGCTCATAAAAAGGAGCATCATAAGGCTGCTCATGGTCAAGAGAAAAAGTTACAAAGTGGACAATTCAAGGAATCGGCTCACCATGAGAAAGATTCAAAGAGAAAACATAAACATGAAGCCGATGAAGGGCGTAAATGGAGTGGCTGGGGAGGTGGAAGCGGCGGTGGAGGAGGAGGTTGGGACTCTTGGGATGGACCAGGATACTCTGGTTGGTCATCGTCACCAATGTATGGTAAACATGGTTCAGGATGGTCAGGGATTCGGAAATATTTGAAGCCTACTTTCGATGGACTCAATGAATATGCCGGCGGTGGATTGGACACTTTTGCCTCCTCCACTCAATATCGAGTTTCCAAAGATAAACCCGCTTCGCCGCCTCTTCTCGTCGAAGCTCAAACCAACAAACCCACCAAATCAACTTTAATTCAAACAATTTACCCAAAGAACTGGAAATACGAGCACATCTTTGGAAGTGGATTGAATTTCCTGCTTCCTCGGTCTGAGTATTGATGATTAGTTAATTGTGATTAAGGAAAACAACAAAATTTCTGTATAAATTTGCCATAGAAAATGTTTCCTAATTTTCCCAATTGAACATAATATTTAAAATTAAACCTTAATCAGGTTTACAATTGAAATTCACAATTATCCCGATTAACTCATGAGTTAGACTATCGTCCTCATTTTAATCATCATTTAATTGTATCAAAGTTAATTGTTACTTCCCATTTAAATTGTATTATCAAAAAAAAGTTTATTATTTTCACTTTAACTTTTATATGTTGAATAAATTGTAATCAAATCAAATTGATTAAACTAATATTTATCTTTTGATTACGACTTGTTGATCATCATTCAACAAATCAAACCAATTAACTTTGAAGATGCTTGATTATAAAGTCAATTGATTTGATTACAATTAATTTATTTTCATAATCTTTATGGTTATCAAATTTACATAATTATCAAAGTTAATTAAATGATAATGTCTGTTTACAATTTCACAAGCAATTTAATTATAATTGTTGATTGACAAATAATCATATGAAAAAAAAAACAATTTATTAGTAATAATGATCAACCAATCAATTGATAAAATTAAAATTAATGATGATGTTGATCAATGTTGAATAGTTAATAACACATTCAATCAATCAGTTGACAATTAATTTACTAACCTTGATTTAAAGTTAATTAACTGATTGAATAACCACAATTAAAATGAGAAATCATTTATCATAATTATCTGATAATTTGATTGATCATTTTATTTTCAATCATCATTAATTAACACATAGGAATCACAATTTAATTTAATTTAATCATCAAGGCAAATTAATTGTAACAATTAACCAAAGTTAATGGTCAAGTAAATGACCTGGTCAATAACAATCAACCTTAATTTGGTTTATCATTGAGTGTTAATCATAATAATGAATACTTTGCCCATGATGTTGAACAATTAAACATTGGGCTGAGCCAATTAACTTTAATTGTTATGGTTAATAACAATATAAACGATATGGTAACTAAAATATAATTGAAATTATTTAAATTGTTACAAAAAAAAGGTTTACCATTAAAACTCATTGTGTTTAATTGTGTTGGTTTAATTGTTTTGTTCAATCCAAACAATTAATTATCTGCACAATGTAATATGATTTAAATTTGCGATTACACCCAAACAATTAACACGTTGATTGTAAAGATAAATTTATTAATAGTATCAAGTAGATTGCGATCATTAGAACTAAATTAAAGTTCGAGAAGAAAAAAAAATCGATAACGAGAAGAGATTCTCGTTCTCGAACTTGAACCTCGAAATTGTGTCCACAATTTGTTCATCTAATCATCGAATCAACAATTAAGCATCATCATTATTAATGGAAACAATTAAAATCAGCTCATTAACTTGTTCCAACATTTAATTGTTATTAATAGAAAGTTACAATCAGTGGGAGTTGAAACGATTCAACTTTAATCACAAATAATTTATATAAATTAACCATTTAATTAACTGCTTGTGCCTGATAAGTGTTGGCTCTTAATCGTTAACAATTTGATTTAGGTTATTAACTTAAAGTTAATCAACACACACAAACACAATTTAAATCACACAAATGAAAATGTTACTTTTCAATTGTTACAAAACAATTTGTCAACAATTTGTTCATTGACTGATTAGGATAATCAAAGGTTATCATACAATTAATACATATTCACACGAGCAATTAGTTAATTGTCTTGTTGATTAATTTTAACCAGATTTCCCTTTATTGTCTGGTTACCCTTAATTACAAGTAATATAATCAAGATAATCAAAAAAAGGAAGTTAATTGTTAACATTGAAAGTAAATAACAGTGAAAACCACTATATTTATGTTAACTGAATTAATAAATTACTCTTGAATATTTTTTCCTTTCCTCGTCAAGTACAATTAAAAAAAAAGAAACAGCAATTTAAAAGCAACAATCAAAGAATTGGAAAAAGGCAAAATCAATGAGATGATTTAAGATATTAATTCAATCATTACGTTGATTATATTGATTAAAGATTAAAATTAAAAGGTGTTTAAAAGCCTTGAAATCAAAGTCTAGATTTAAATCAATGACAATCAATTGAACAAAACTATTAATCAATAAAAGAGGTTAATTAAATGAAGATTATCAATTCTAATCTTCAATTGCTGATTGCTTAAGGTAACAACATGGACAATTTATAATGATACTTGTAAATTGTCATTGAGTGGAAACGATTTACTGGTTGATTAAATTGTTATTCACTCTTGCGTATTGATTGTGTTGAGTTGAAACAATTAAGGAAAATTAATTAAAGTAAAAAACCTCTCGAGGTCGACTCTAGATGGCGACATTTCCTTCACTTAATTGTTAATCATAATAATAATAATAATAATACTTGTTGATTGTTGATAATTAAATGTTCACCATGAGGAGAGGGATAATCAGAATTTCATTTTCGTTCATCAAAATTAAATCAACGCAGTTAATTACTTATCAAGAATATTGATATTAACTTAACCAAAGAATTGAAATAAACCATTTGTATCAATTGATTGGAAAAAAGTTTCTCTTTTTACAAAATGGTTAATATTTGATTTCGATTCAAGTTTTAATAACATTAATTTGATTGTAAATTGTTCAAGGGATAAATTGGTTCTGGTAATAACACTATTCTCAATGGTGATAAAATACAATTAAATGGTAATTAATTTAAACGATGTTACTCTCTCTCTCTCTCTCTTATTGTCAATGTACATTAATCAGCTCATTGTGACAAACGTTATTATTTATGGTTTTTCCTGTGTATGTAAGTATCATATATGTTATTTACTATTGGAAGTAGCAAATAATAATAATGAAAATAGTGAGAAAATGAATAGTAATTAAAATCTCCATGTTGTATAAAATGGTAACATCACCATGATATCGTTGATACTGTCGTCATCGTCATCGTAATCGTCATCACAATCATTAAAATAAATGATAATAAAGGTTGAAAAAAAGGTTAAACAAGAAAATGTTGGAAAAAAAAAGTTTCCTGTAACCTGAATTTTATGCTGTAAAATCAACCAAGCTTGCACTTTCACTTTAAATTGACAGTTTCTTGTCAACTGAGCACAATCAAGGTAATCAACAGAGTATCGAGTGAGCAATCATCACCATCATCATCATCATCATCATCAACAGGATTAACAAATAAATGGTAAAAAAAGTAAACATGATAAACAACAACAACCTTAAAAGTCAAGTTTTCCTCTCAAGGTGTAAATCTGGTTGAGAGGTTGTTGTTGTTGTAAGGCCATAGAGAAAGGGCTTCAGAGGATGATGAAGATGATGAAGATGAAGATGATGATACCTGATTATCATTATCATCTTTATATTACTTTTCCAAATGATGATGATGATGGTTCTGGTGGTGGTGATGTTGTTGTTGTTGTCTGGTACCTCTTCATTTGCAAGAACCTGATTCTGTTTGGACAACGAGAAACTTTGACCTGGCGTTGATGATGTTGATAGTTTCAAGTTTAAATCAACAATTAACTTGAAATCTTAAATGCTACAGGGCAGCAATCACAAGCTCTACTTTATCATCATCATCATCATCATCATCAAAGCAACATCATCATTAGTTCAATCATGTTCATCAACATCAAAGTTATAATCATCATCATTCAGCATCATCATTATCAACATCATATGATGATGATAACACAATACAATGTTGAGTTAAGCTTATTTTAAATTGTTGGGTTAGTTAATTGTTAGCCAGAAATGTGATTAAACGAATGGATTAATTGTATTTCTGTTTCATTTGATGTTCATTATGATTCTTTGGTTGTTAAGAGAGAGAGAGAGAGAGAGAGAGAGAGACAAACTTCACTCTTGATTAGTTGAATACACTACGTTCTGAAAATTTATTTTCTTCAATGGGATTGTATCATATTATCTTCTTCTATTACCAACAATTGGCAACAATTACAATTGAGAAAATTAAACTTGTTCTTCAATTCTAATAGAATCAAAATCACAAGGAAATGGCGTAACATTCAAACCAGAACGGATTAGAATGGTGAAGTTACATGTTGTTCATTGTTTTCTTTTGATTTGTTGCTGTTTTCTGATAGAGAACCGGTCGTTCCTTAGAATAGCAATAACAATAACAGAAAGAACGAAATTGATGATAAAAAAATTTCAACAAGAAGAACGATAATCAATTGTTTAATTAAATTGGTGTGTAACAAATAGACTCAATTCTAACCAAGGTTTCGTATTCATTTTCCTTCAGAAGCAAATGGGAATCATGAAAATAACACCAGATAAGAATCAAAGTGCTAATAAGGAATTGGAAAGAAACCAATCGATTATCTTGGATACAATTAGAAAAAAATTAATTATCGAATTGAGATGAGATGAGATGAGAGAAAATAATAATGATGATAATATCAATATTCTGAGAATATCAAAGATGGCGGAATGATGATGATGGAAGATGAGGAAATGACATCGCCCTTCCGATCTTGTTGGTTTGTTTGTTTGTGTTTTTTTCGCTCTTTTTTTCTGGTTCTTCTTCCTCATCATTTCCTGATTAAAATTTAATCGAAAATACTAAATGATTAATATTCACAATTAGCAACTAAATTGTGAGGCGAAAATTTTGTCAACTGAGAGACAAAAAATTAACTCATTCATGAGCATTTCTAACATGTTGTTTTCTAATTTTCATGTTTAATCATTTAGCACTTTTGTAAATCTCTTATTAGTTTATTTGATTTAATTGTGTCACCTAAATAGTGACCAACCTTGGACAATTTAGAAATCGGTGATTGGTAGTTAGTTAATTGCTTTCCAACTGTTCCAAGACAAAATGATAAATTAAATAAGCAATTAAGGTTCAGGCCCAAGGAGTGCGAGACCTTCACCTTTTTTTATTTATATAAATTGTTCATGTTTACTTTTAATTAACAATTAAATAGATTTTAATTGTTTTCATTGAGAATTAAATTTGACAATTAGTTGAATCACTTGATTTCAACAGTCCACCCAAAATTGTGGTAACAATTAACTCCAATTGTTGATTAGTTTTAAACACAATTTGAACAACTTTGGCTTTGATGAT